CTCTTTCCCCCTTTCCACCTCAAGAATCTGAATGAGCTGCTGTTTGCAGCCCTGCCTCCTTATCTTCCTGGGCACCTGTGCAGGAAAAGGTGGGGCTGAGTTAACTCTTTACTTCCCAGTGACCACAAACAGGCTCCTGAAGCCATCCAGGTGCAAACACCTGCTGCCCTCCTTGACCCATACTGGAAATCCTCACAGTATTGAAAACATTTCACAATTTTCAAAACATGGTCTCCCATTGTTCCTGAACAAATGCATTTTCTCTTTACTTTTCTACTCACAGTTACCCAGCTCCATTTACCATTCTACATCTGTTCTCCAACTATCCTGCTTTTGGCATGGTCACCTTTCTAAACACCTCCTCTCAGAAGCTTTCATTTCCCAGAATGTTTTATAGGGTAGCAAGCTGGTTTGAGAGATAAGCAATCTTATTCTCCAAGCACAAAAACAAGCCAATGCTACATGCACGTGTTTTCTTTCTAAACATCTGCCTAGAGAGAAATCACTAAAACCTGCATTGCTCACAGTTTACAGGAATCTGCTCCACTGCCTTGCACTTTGTGTATTCATTTATATCCCTACAAAGTGAGCACAAGGTTGAAAATGTCATCACCGTGCAAGTGACAGGAGATTTGTAACATCATATCACTTGTAACTGGTGGCACAAAAGTACAATATGGATAGCAGCTGCTGAAACCGTGAGCCACATTCGGTGCAAAGCTGAGGGGTAAGGTCAAGCCACCTTCTATCTCAATATGAGATACTTGTGGTAGTTGTAAACCTACTTTTGCTTCTTTATTCATTGCGATGAGAGTAATATTCAAAAGAATCATTTTCTACCATCAACATTCAGTGATACTCAGACCACAGCTTCTGAGACACAAGTGACTCTTCAACTTGTCACCTGCAGCTCTTCACAGAAAATGTTATCAAAGTAATTTTTATTGCTGCATGAAATGGGTAGGGCTTTCCTGCAATCATGAATAATGCAACCCGTGCAACTATACTAATTTGTTTTCACCTGGATTCACTGAGGGAGGGAAGGGGGTATATGTTGAATATGTACACAATTCACGGAGGGGACTCTTTGATCAACACTGACTGCTCATGTGTCTTCAAAGACAGGACTGAGTATCTCTGACACAAACACACAGATTCAATGAGTATGTGCATACATTATACACATAGTAACAGTAATTAAATATATATATCGATTCCCATTGATTCAATGGGTATATGCATGTGTGTGCACATGCAAACACACACACACAGACGCCAGGTCTATTTTTATATATATGTAATGCACACGTTATCCATTGAATCAATGGGAGTTTTTCCATTGGATCGAATGGCCTACAAATCAAGTCCTTAATTAATATTAAGTGATATATCTTGACTACACAGAAAAGCTGCACAGGAAAAAGAAGAAAAAAAAAAAAGAAAAAAATCAATTTAAAATCTATAGTGTAGGAGCTTCTGCACGGTGCTGTCTTTTATCTCAAAATCATAATGACGTGAAGAAGCAATACTTCCATTTCTTTTAAATATGTTTCCCTTAAAAATTAACATTTCTTTGTGATGTCTTAAGTTCTAGCCTACTGGATTTTTTCTATGTTCTTCATTTTGGGGGTTTTATTATTATGTAATCAAACTCTCTAGAGTGACAAGGCTGTGCAGTCTAGCCATTTTTCAGATGAGTTTTCATTGATCTTCAGTCAGCTTTTGTTTATTCAATACCTGGTATTCTGGACTGTTGTAAGGAACAGCGTGGTCTGAAAGTAGCAAGTAGATTTGTTTGTAGAGTTGTCATAATGGAAAAATCTCAAAGGGTCCCAAAGCAAGGGAATATTTTCCGGGAGAAGAAGGGCGTTGTCAGGCTATCTCCAGACATCTCTGCAAGAGGACAGGATAGAATAGTTACTTTCCAAATTAATTATTGGCTCCCATCTTTCATCTTCAGGCTATTTCCATTTAGCAGGATGTGAAAAACCATAAGTAGCATTTTTTTTGAGTAACAAAAGAATGTTAAAATTACTGATATTCTTTAGTTTTATGTCAACATGAGAAGTTTTTTAAGTCTCAAAAGGAATTCCCAATGCTATTGGCATTGGACATTCAACAAGTAATGATGCCCTTGGCTCCTCAACTGCTATAGGATGATTAAGCATCCATGGAAGCCAGAAATAAAAAGAGTTTAGAGTGCAAGTTCTTTGGGAGAAAGCCAAACCTTGTGTCTCATTTCCTCCCAGCACCTAGTACTGGGGTTCCCAAACTCTACCTCGGTGCAAATAAATAATAATGATGATGATACCTACATTAAACATCTATGCAAAACCTTTCAGTGGAATTTGGGTCCTTTTTCATTGCCTCATATATTCTAAAGAAATCCTATTTTTTCTTCTCCTCTGTTACATTAAAAATATAAAGGATACCAAGTCTTCCCTCTCTTGATATTCTTGAAGGATTTCTTGAGTGTTTTACAATATACCACTGGTATTTTGTGTACCTTAATTGAAGGGGAGGAAGAGTTCAATATTTACCAAAGTTGCTGTTTATCCACCCCAATCATTAGTCACTGAAGCTTTGAACAGCCTGAATTAGTGTCTCTCCCGCTCTCATTTGCTGAGCTTTCAATATTTTGATTTGTGTAATGACATTATTTTATTAGTTCTAGTCAGCATAAAGCCTTTCATGGCTGGATAGGCCTTATATTTCTAACACAAAAATATGGTGGTGCAGGGGAGGAACCTTGAAAATCAACTCTCAGGCTACTTTTATGCGCCATGAAAAGGCATAAAGGGATGAAAAGCCAGGTTTTCCTTTTCAGGTCACACTTTATATACATGAAATCCTGCCACAATGAATGCTCTCATTCAAAGCAATAGGGAAGGGGAACATACTGTAAGATACTTCTTAATGTTCTTAAAATGATTATCTGCATTGTATAGGTACGTTAGTGTGTGCAGAATAAACTCCTTTGAAAATGATTCCAGAAAATCTAATCACAGGCAAATGATTGTTAAAAATAAAGTCCATGGTTAAAATACAAGTCCTGTACAGAGAGTTACAGCGCCACCTAATAGCTAGTTAAAGAGATAAATATTGGAAGGAAAGCTAAGTCTCATGTTTCAGTGGTTAAGCCAACCTCTAAATACTAGGGATTAGCATGGTAGGGCTCATCATCCCACATCCGCTGCCAGGAAGGTTTCTTGCATTTAGTCATTGTCAGGGAAAGGGTCCTAAGAGTAGAATAAATTTGTGTTTAGTTTAGTATGGCAGATCCTTTGCTCCTTTATGGACTGATTGCTGTAGGAAGCCCCAGCCACATCCCAAACTTCAGAGTCATGAAAGTCACGCCAAGTGGCTGCTCACAGTAAGCAGTTTGCAGATTTAGTGTTATACGGTTTGAAAACCAGCTGGCTAAAACTGACCCCTGGCAAGACAGATAAGAAGAGGGAAGAGGGAAGCTTTGCTCTATCCCCCACTATGTAGAGCCCCACCTACCTTCAAATAATAATTTGGGAAATCATTTCTTTGGGAACCCTCAATAGCTATGGTAACTAATAATGCTATTTCCATCTATTCCTCCCCCCAAAATTGTACGTTTCCTATTAGGTACAGACCTGATAACTTGCACGGTTGATGGCATCACATTGGGCCAAATCTTCAGCCCAATACAACTGTGCTTTATGCTACTCCAGTCATGCAATAAAAAGCAACTACCCTGAGCAGACAATTGGGAGGTTAATTTTCCAAACATGGTACAACGTGACCACAACATAGCCAAGAAGCCGAGATGAATTCTTTAAGAAATAAAGCACAGTCTGTGGGGAGTCTCACAGTGGGCTTTTCCACAATGCACAGGTTTCTATGTTGCATGTTTTTAGTGGCTATACAGTGCTTGACATTTTATCAAATCAAATTCTACACTGAAAAGAAGAATGCATACTCTTTGTAAAAATACCGGGTATAAAACTTGAATGCATCCTTCCTACAAAATATTGAAATGTAAGACATCTGAGTGCCTAGGAAAACATACATTCACTCTCTTCCCTATGTATATATCTTGTGCACTTTTGTGACTTGGTCTCAGAGAAAAGGATGCTGTGTACTTGCACAGCACAGGACCTACCAGAAAGGAACGCAGTGGAACAGATACAAAGCCTGGCTTTTTAAACAACGTTCCATCACAAATTCTCTCCATCCCCTCCACAGAATGGATCTGCGTTCTCCGCGAGAGCACGTGCTATGTAATATGGCTCCAAGTTGTTGAGGTCATAAACACTTGACTGAATTTCTTGTTTTCACAGGTATAGTTAGAAAATCTGGGCAGTAGGAATGGTGCATGTTTGAAAGTAAACTCCATTATTACTCCACTAGCAAATCATTAGCATCAAAACATCTTAAACAATGCCATTTGGAAACTATATCCCCATGCTATATTACACATATACTTCCATTATAATTTGATCATATACATTCTTTAAACATACAGATTGGGTTGCCAGTTCATTTTCTCAATTATTTTAAAAAGACAAAAAATAATGTTACCGATAGCTCCAAAAGATCCTTCTCTCTAATTTCCACTGGAACATCTATACCTTTTTTAAAGAATTAATAAAGTTATCAAAACATCCTGTCTCCTGTGCCTACCCTGATTGGTTCTCTTTTTCTATATGAAAAGTTTTCATAAAGAAGCAACCTTAAAATAGGTTCTTAGAGTAGAAACTTCTGGGTGAGGGCTGACAGTTCTGTAGCTGAGGGTAGATTTTTCTGATTTCTCCTTTTCCTGATTGTAGAAAATCATAGTAGAGCTAATAACACTGAACACACACTAGTAAAAAGGAAGGAGTCATGTTCTTACATGGAAAATGTTTTGATGTGGCCTTCAAAAACCAGAACTCACTATCTGTGAAGCATGCGCTACACATATCCTCCTTATGAATTCCATCTACAGTAACTGGTATAATTTCTCTTGGCAGTGGCATGAGATATTTTCACCTTATTATTATGTTCCAGAACTGGTCCTTTATTAAATGTCACTGAACTTCATTCAGCAACCATATCAAGAGCAGATGTGTTTTCTTCCAAGTTTCTACCCTTTATTGTCATATAGTGGTCATCTAAAAAGTGAAATTTTTCATATGGTTATCTATTGAACATACATCTTTCTTGAAATCTTAGAGTCGTATCTTCCCTTTCCTTTATGTGTATATGGAATCTGCTGCTGAGCCAGGTGGGTACGTTTTACAAGAGATGCTCCACCATAATTGTTTATGGTGGAGAGTTTACTGAACCCTTGTGTTAAAAAGAACAAATCTACCTCTCTCTTCTGAAGTATATTAGATTCAGAGTTCTGAAATCCTAGACAAGGACAGTAGAAATGAAAAACCATTTAAACCAACAAAACTCTCAACTGAGGTTGTCCTCTATAAAAGATTTTCACTGGTGTCCGATATAAGGGTGAAGGGCTTCCAGCAAGTTAATATCCATCTAAGACACAATTATCCTGTAGGGCTTTTACTGAGCAAGTCTTGCATGTCACTTTCTTGACATAAATTACTGTGACTTCTCTCAATAGGAAAAAAATTATCCAGACTCTCTCTCACGCCCACACCATTAGGAGCTCAGGACCTTCAGCTCATGCCACTGGCATTCAACAGGAATCAGGGGCAGCAGAATATCTGGCAGGAACGTGTTTTATAACTAGAGCTTTATGAAGCACACGCATTTGGGATTGCATGAGTTTTACCAAACCTTGACTGCTGTCTGGATCCTAGCACGGCTTTTCATTTCAAATTTGTCTGTAAAACATCAGCTTACCATCCACAGGAAATCAGTTCATTGGCTAAGACTAGATATTGTACTCAATTTCATGATGGTGCCTACTAGTTTGGAATAATCTCTCTTGAATCTTCTCTTTTTGTATTTATCCAAAAAAGATTCATGTGAACCTTGCCATGTTTTCCAGCCATTCCAGCTTGCAGTTCTAAATTATTTTTCAAAGTAATACACAAGGTAATGCATAAATATTGGTGGTATGCTTGTGTGCCTGGTCTGGACAAGAATGAAGCATGTTGGTCACCAGAGAAACCATGTCAAGTTCTTCACGTAGCTCAGCAATAAAAGAATGTGTTAGGAACTTCCCAGTAAAACAGAAAAATCTAGTGTTTTGTGTGTTCTGACATAGAAACTAATACTTACATTTTTATTTATATATATATATATATATTCTGAAACAGCATCCATCTATTTCATTTCTTAAAATAATTTATTTCACAAATTGCGTGCCAACTCTTTTTTTTAGGGTGCATCTGATTTCCCAGATTTCTCCATTTGCTTTGTAACAGTAGTTACATTTATTACAGAAGTGCACATGACAATACAATATTGTTCATCTTGTACTCATGATAATTCCATAATAGAAATCAGCTGCTATGATTTCCTGGTACAAAGCACAGTTCGGTCTGGATCAAAACCAAGTTAAATACCTTCTGCTTCCAGTTAGAGGTTAGAGATCTCTGGCACAAGATGTTAAACTTGATTAGTAGATTGTTTTGCTGCACTTTTAACTCTTCTCAATAGGCTAAATAGCCTTGAAAAATTCAAGATGCTGTCTAAAAACTTAGTTAACTCTAATAAAAGATCAAACTCTCGGCAACGGAATTTTAATAGCTCAGTTGAGATTTCATTTAAGGGTCCAATCCTGGAACCTCCAAACTCCCACAGAAGTCATGATAAATGCAACTGAAATCAATGGGTATTCTTCATGCAGAGATGTTGCTTTACCCAGGTCAAAGTAGAAGGACAAAACTATAGGAAATAATTAAAATTGGGAAACAGAACATTTTTTTCTTGCCATTTAGATATTTTACATTTATGCCTCTATCCCC